ATACTATACTAGCTGTATATTTATGTAGGTATATATACAACTATTTCACTGTACAAATAAAAATAATTGTCAGTAAATATTGGGAAAAATATACGGCAAAATATATACGGAAAATATATAGAGAATAGAGAGATTTTGTCATGACAAAGTTAAAGTTTAGGAAAATTTCAAAAACATTTTAAGAAATATGCGTATAAATTTGATTAGAAAATTATATAAATATTAGAGTTGCCGTTTTATGAAAATAATTTACAAGTATTTTAAGATTTTTATTTATCGTATCCTTAAATAAGGATTTCCCTAACTGCGATTGAATAAGTTCAAAACTAACTGATTTAAAAAAAAATCAGTCAGCTATATGGTCAAAAATCTAAAATAAATAAAGTGCCAGGAAGAGGTTTCTGATTTTTCCAAAAATTTCATTGTGACAATTTTATTATTTTATCAAAATTGATTTCTCGACAGACTGACATCTTGTTACAAATATTTTTTATTTTATTTACATTTCTGTATGTTGGAGGAATGTAATTCTGTTAAAAATTCGACTAGTAAAATTTAGCAAAAAGTGTGATTATAATTATTGTAAATTGAAGATTAATTACCGAAATATTAATATCATTGCGGCCAATTATTGTGGTATGTACTCCATAAGCACAAGTCCTATGTTATCCCTGTTTTATCAAAGGACCTTATCAAAATGTAATGCTACACAATAAGTTGGACAAAATATCCAGAGGGTTTAGATGATCAAAACCAAAAAGGTGGAAGTATCGGCCTAACTTTAAAGCAATATAAGAGCTGCAATTCATTATAAAATTTCGAACTTTGAATTTTGAATGAAATAATCTAAAAGTATATACAAAATATATTTTCAATTATAAATACAAAAGAATTGTAGTTATGACAGTAAAATGCTACTGTTATAAATGTTATAATCACAATTTAGTGTATTTAATATTATTTTTGAATAGCATATTGTTTTATCATGTATAAAGAATTTTATATTGAAGTTTGCAATTAGATTGTATAGTGTTTGTGGGAATATTGGTTTTTTATATATTATACAATTTGTATTACAAATAATATAAATTAAATGGTTAACGGAATTCTATTCAAAATTTATAATTATGTCTCAATTTATATGTATGTGTGTGTATACAAAGTAGTAAATATTTTAAATACTTAATATCTTGTTTGTAGAATATGAAAATTTTTGATGGAAAAGAAAATTTTTTATTCTTTTTCTCTAAAATTCTTAATGAAATGCATTTTATGTTGATAAAATCTCAATTAAACTGCTTCATTTTTGGGTTTCTTTAATTAAATATTTTGAAGGAAATTCTTTAAGGATATTATTTAAACAATTTACGTTCTTTATATAGTTAGCCTTTTTGTAACTTTGTAAAATTTAAATTGGGTTTTTGTTTATTATTTTCATTTTTATGTTTTTTTTTGGGTTTTTGTTTTTTGTATTTCAATTAACAAAACAAATTTTAATGAAGGATCACTTTAGTGTATACATAGTTTGAAAATTTTGGTTAGTAATAAATTTTGCTAAAGTGTAATAATTTGTATATATACATGTACATATGCATAGGTAAATAAATTTATAAAATTAATTTATTTTGAATTTGAATTTTTTTGATTAAATTTTTACATTTATGTATTGGAAATAATTCAAATATTATTGAGATTACATTTAAGCTGTTACTCAGTTTTTATTTGTTTCTTTAAGAGAAAGGAAAATATAGGCGACAGTAATTAATTGAAATATGTTATCCGTCATGAAATATGGGATTTCAAAAGAAATACTATTGTATCATTACACCCTTGTACATATGTACATAAATTGTCCCTAAAATATTGTCAGGTAAAAAACTTTGTTTTTGTCAAATTCTATAAAAAAATTTTATTAATTTTCCTCAAATATTCGGATGCAAGTATGAAAATTTTAATAGATGACTTTAAGAATGGAATTTTGAATTAAAAATATTTTTTCTCAAATATTTCAATGTATGAGTATAAATAAAGATAAAGCATTTTCATTAAATTTTTGTATATTAACGCAAAACTTAAAAAAAATTCATTGCATTTTATTTAATATTATTATATAAAAAATATTAATTACCATATACAATGATAAAATTTACCTATATAGCCATTTAAAAATCAAGTTGTATGTTGCAAAACTTATCCATTTAAAATTCACTTCATATTTTTAAAATATTTTTCCAATTAATATACAAAGTAGTAAAAGTTTTTTTTTTAACTATAATTAAAAAAATATAAAAATAAAATGCACGTAATAAAAATGAATTACTTTGCCATTTTAATTTGTAAAAAAGGGCTAATTATGTAAAAAGTTGAGAAGAACTGAAAAATGAAATATAAATTTTTCATTTTATTTTTCACCATTCCATTTATGGCTCTCACCAACTAACTTTTTACACGTATTGTATAGTTGTCGCGTAGGTACATGAGAAATTATTTACAATTTTTATAAAAAAGAAAATTTATAATTTTTGCATTCATAAATTGTTAATCATGGCTACCTACTTTACTGTTTTAGTTTAGTTGCCCATTTGTCTACACACAAAAAGCTGCCCACATTTGTTACCAAATGCATTGTAAGACGATATACAGAATAATTTTTTCTTATTTATGACATTAATTATTTAAATTAAATTTCTTTATTTAATTTAATTAAAATTTATTTAAAATTAAGAAGGATACGATTATGATAATTAATGAAAAACCAATTAAAACTATGAAAATGTAAAAATTTAAAAAAGAAATTTTCGTCATGATTTATGAAAATCGATTTTAATATAAAATTAATAACGTAATATGAATATTATAATTTGAATTGAAAATTTTGTTTAATACCACAGGCAGATTAGATTTTTAGTTTTTCAACTGTTTAATTGCTTATTTGTATTCCATAAATCTATATTTAAGTGCTCACATCTGCAATTGTATGATAGAATGCAATTAAACAATCAAAAAATTTCTAATTTTTTATAAACAGATTGCAATTTATGAATTTTAAATAGTTTAGTTGCTTATGCAATCAATTTACAATTAAACTATAATGGCAAAACTAAAAATACCTGAGCCCTGATATAAGAAATTTTGCCATTTTTTAAGGTGAGTGCATTTTATTTTTCGAAAATTGTATAATAAATATTGTGTAACGATTTAACGATTTAATATACAAGGGATGTTTTTTTTTTGCCTAAAATTTTTGGATTTTATTTAATGGGCATAGAATTGTAATCCCATTCCTTAAAAGATAATATCGAAGATAATATTAGTGTAGAAATTACTGGTACTGTAGTAAATATTAGTGTAGTGTAGAAATTACTGGTACAAAATTTTTTTGTGTAATAAGTTACATTAAGTATATAGATAGACTATACAATTGACGAGACCAAGAATTATTACCTTATACCTATACAGAAAAAAATTAACAATAAATTTGCAATGTATACATAAGAAATACTCGTATTTAATAAATTTCATAGAATTACACTTTATTCTGACCGTATACATAAATAAAATATTCACTTAAAATAAAAATCAAACTAATTGAAAGTTTATTACATAGTATAAAATTATGTGAGCATTTACTCATAAATTTACTAGTACAATTTTAAAAAAATTAATTATTTCAATTAAAAATTAAAAATATTGTAATAATTGCCTTATATTTTTAAGTATAACAATATTCAAAAAAATTATTTTTTTCATTCTGTTTTCAAGTATACCCTAGAGTTGATTAATTCAAATTCATATTCGGCACCCCTCCCCCTCGTCATTTTATAATAATTTTTTGTTTTTAACCAATTTTTCATATTTTCATTTCATTTTTTTATTTCTTTTTACACTATTATTTTTTTTTTGCTTCCACTTTTGATATAAGAAAAACTTATGAACCGATTTTGGTACTTTTTGTTGAAAAAAAAATTGAAGTTTATATCGTAACAAAAAAAAAATTAAAAAAACAAAAAACCGCGTTAAAAAAAAAATTTATTTTCACTTCCAATATAATAGAAATTGCAAGAGAATTTTCCGAACTAACAACCATCCCAACAAAAAAAAAAATTAATTTTTTTGTTTTCATAAGTTTTGTAATTATAAAAAAAAAAGAAATAACTAAAATACAATTTAATCAAAAAACACAAGTGGAAAAGAAAGAAAAACAATCCGCAAAGACGGAAAAAAATTTTGTTTTTTTTTGTTATATTTAAAATATCCTGAAATTTCCTGAAATATCCTGAAAATTTTTAATATACTAGTTTAAATATTTTTAATACGAAAATTTTTTCTTTATATTTTTTTTCTTTCCTTCCAGGATAATGAAAAGTGAATTGAATTTTGAATGAAAAAAAAAAAATCAGGAAAAGAATAAAAATAAAACAACAATAAAAGCAAAAAAAAAAAAAATAATAGTAATTATATTGTACAAACAAGTAAATAGAAAAATATAATTAAAAAAATCATTTTTATTCAAAATTAAAGTTGAAACAAAATTAAAACACAACCGAAAAGGAAAATAAGAAAAAAACTTAAAGGAGCTGAAAAAAGTGAAAATAAAAAAAAATATTCAAAAATAATAATGATAATATTAAAAAAAATAATAAAATTAAATGAAAATAATTAAAAAAAAATATTAAGGTGAAATTAAAATAGAAAAATAAAAAACACAAAAAAAAAAGGATACAAAATTTTTTAATTAACAAAAGATGAAAAATAAATAAAAAAATAAAAAAAATCAATATAGTGAATTACGTAATATTTAAATGAACATTAATGAAATAAATTTGCAATTATAATACAATATTACATACACACATATATATATACATATATGTATGCAATTATATTCAATAAAAAAAAGTGTGCACAAATATTTGTGAATAAAAAAGTAAACTGAAAAAAAAAAAAAAATAATTTTTTTTTTTTAAATAAATTTCAATAATTTTCTAAAATTAAAAAAATATTCATTAGTATAGTATTAAACAAACCAGTACAATAATCTATGTATATATATATAATATATCGAAATAAATAAAATAAAAAGCAAAATAAAATAAAATAAATTGAAATCAAATTTTTTTGGATATAAATATAATACAAATACTTATTTACATATATATATATATATATATATATAAATAGTTATAATATATATCAAAATTAAAAATATAAACATAAAAATATAATATATACGGAAAAAAAAAGAAGAACGAAAAAAGAAGAAAATAAAAGCAAATAACAAAACACGGAAATTAAGCTGCATATGAATATAAAGATCAGGTGTCAAAAGGTAATAATCATTAGTTTTATCTTATATATATATACATATATATATATATATATATATACTGTTATTCTCATTATTGTGGTTCTTTAATATACAAAATTTATTTATCTATATATATATATATATATATATATATATACTTATTTATTTATTTAAATTAAATATTAAAATAATTATAATAAATTCTTATGTAATATGGGTTTTTAGTTTATATCGGAAAAATTTATATTATTTTATATAATATTATATTTATATATATATACACAATAATATATATATATATATACAATTATATTGTATAATATTTTATTTATTTTATTATTATTATTAAATATATAATTCTATGAAATTGAGAATTTAAAATTAATCCTGATTTAGTTAGTGATGCATTTAAAATAGTATTTAAATTTAATAATAGTTATTTTTCTATATATACAATATAATGAATATACGTACTATATATGTGTATATATAAAAAAAAAAAATAATAGTTATATTGTTCAAATAAAAATAATATTATTATATATATTAAGTAATTTAATATTTAATATTTAAATATTATTTTATTGTATATACAGTGAATTTTTAAATTTTGAATTTTTTTTTTCAGAAAAATTATCATGTTATATGCAAAATAATTTAAATTATATGTAAAGAAAGTGTTATATAACCAAAAAAATTTTGTATTCTTGTGGTAAATTAATTAATATTTTGCAATTATGGGGGAGGGTTTTGATGATTTATGATGCTTGAATTTAAGTGATTTAATGGTATAATAATGATAAGAGACACAGAATGTTTATTAGACAACAGTATTTTTAATAGACACAGTCTACTTTGGCCGAAAAGAGTGAAAACAAAAACCAAGTGTTTTGCCCTTCTATTACAGGCCATATGGATATTATTTATACTTTTATTAGATGATATGTAGTAATTAAATTAAAATCGTAATATGAAATGCCTAACAATTTAAGTTCAAAAACTCATTTGTAATAATAATTTTTTTTAATAATTGCACAAAATATCAATTTGATCAAAAAATTCGAAGATGTACAATTGAATTTCTTAGCAAAAATTAGTTTTTTAAGCTATGTAAATTGCTTATATTATTAATTTAATTATATTATAATATTATAATTATTTTATAATTGCTTATATTATAAATTTATTAACTATAACAGTTAAAAATTACTTCGAAATATAGAAAATTTAAATTAGAATTATTATAGAAAATTAATTATAATCAAATAGTTCCAGAATTTATTAGGAGATTTCGAAATTTGTTTACAAATTCAGTTTTAAGAGTTAATTCCTTTTAATTAATTCTTAAAATTAAATTAGTATTTGAATTCTAATTAATTTCTGTGTTAAAATTAAAGTATTTTATGTGAAATGATCTAAATATAAATTTAGAGGTTCTAAATTTTTGCATACCGATGCTTAAAAGAAATTTTTTATTTCTAAAACAAAATTTAATAATTGACTATCTTATATTTTTTTGTTAATAACTGTATATACAATAGATAAAATCAATTAATAATTAAAATTAAAATAATATCGTATAATAATAATTAAGTAATACTAATAATATATTATTGTTATTAAATAAAATTTTATACAATATGTAAAAGAGTGGATTATAAAGTATAATTACAATATGTATCATTAAACAAAAGATCATAAAATATTTATAAATATTAAATATTATATTTTATTTTTTATAAATCTATAATGTGGTTATCATTTAAATAATTTTATTTACACAAAATATTAGAATATTTGAAAATGTCAAAAAGTTACAAGATTATATTATTAATTAAATACATGCATACATATTTATATGTATGCATGTATTTAATTAATAATATAATCATATATGTAAATATTAAATTATAATTATGTGAATAGAATAAATATTTATCTAGTATTTATATTAGATTTGAATATAAAACTTTTGCTTTAATATACGATTACAATTTGTTTTAAAGAAAATTAACAAATAAAATTTAAATATATAAAAAATTGCATATTTTGAGGTGCAATTTTTAAAATTTAATATTTGATATTAATCGAGTGTTAAATATTAAATTTTAGTGTAATTCAAATTAAAATTTATGGAATTAAGATATACTTTTAACATATACAATTTAAAATAATTTCTTGGAGTAGAATTTTGTAGAAATTTATGAAAATAATTTTCGAATTAATTGTAAATCATATAGAATACCACGAACTAGAATAGAATAGAATGTTAATTTATCCGAGTTTGGTTAACCCTCACTGTTTGAAATTTCTATTTTAACAATAATATGAATTCAAACTTTAAATATACATAAAATTTTTATCTTTTAGCTACAAATTTTCTGCAATTTTTTTATTATTTTCCTTTGGAAAATTTTAAAACGATAAATTGAATAATTCACGTTCATATTATTATTTCTATTAAACAAAATTGTTTTTCGGCTTTTAAAAAAAGTTTTGACTGGAAAAAAATAACTTTGTTTTCGAATTCAAAAATATATATATATATATATTTGTGCATTTTATATAGTGCATATTATATAATAGAGTTCGCCTTAAATTTTTAATTGAAAAAAAAAGAAAAGAGTATAAATAAGTAAAAATTACGGAAATAGTAAAGTTTTCATTTTAAATTAAAAATAATTTTTCCAAGTTTTATTTTCTGTTTTGGTTTTTTTATGTACATTTTTCAATTCTTTAAGATATTTAATGTTTGCACATTTGAAATTAATATTGAAAACTTATCGAAATTTATATATATGTATGATTGTATGTACATTGGTATTTTTTAAATAAAATTTGCTTTTCAAATTATGTGCTCTTTGCTATTTTTAGCATTTTTCCAAAAAAAATTTTGAAAAAAGTGCTTATTTGTTTCACTCTCTATTCGTCCATTGATCCGTTTACCAAACTTCTATACCCTTGAGCATAGAAAGTTGATATTTCAATTGTGCATAGATCTTTACTAGAAATTTATTTCTGTGCAAGAAAATTTTTACCAATAAGAGTTATAACTTCTCAAAGGCCTTAAAATGCCATTTTATGATTACTTGTTTTAAAGAAACCATAAATATTTTTCAAATTTTGTTAATGTAGGAAAGTAGAGTCGGGATTTTTCTACAGCGGCGCAATATAACTAAGTAACAGAAAAGCAAAATGGTGCTACTAATATTAACTGTTATCTAAAATCAGTTTTTTTTTTCAGAATTTTTTATATCGTTCTTTTCTAGGCCATAAGTTGTTTGATTTGGAAATATTAGCAGCTTTAAGATATTAATAAAGTGTCTACCCATTCTTAAGTTATTTTTTGAAAAATATAATATTTAAATATTTTTCTTAACTCCCACAATTAACCCTTAAATTCGACGGTTCAAGGATTGCATACATTGCTTATCCTAAATGTATGCAATCTTTGAAATATTTCGAAAATTTGTTACTTTACAAACACCATTGGTTTGACCCAAATTTATTTTATATGTATATATAGAGAATATTCAAGGATTATCAGTAGAGACATAAGTGTGTGTTCGGAAGAAGAAAAAATATATATAAGATTTCCTTTGAAATACATAAAGAATATTAAAATCGCTAAAACTTTCTTTTTATTTCTTCATATTTTTTTCGTAATATTTTTATGCATAAAAAAATATTAAAATATGTTTTTTCATGTGTAAAAAACATTTATATATCATTTTAAAAATTTCCTAATTTAAGATCACAAAACTTTGTTTTTTTTTTGTATTCAGAAAAAAGGTAAAATTTTCAATTTGAATCTTTAATTTGTTTTTCGTTCTCTTGTAAAATTTAGTAAAAAAATATTTATTTTGAAAAAAAAACTTTTTAGACATTTAGTTTTTCTCATTTCGTATACTCGTATGTAAATGCATATGTACATATATACTTAGCCATATAAGGATAAAATTTTAATATTGCTGATTTGAATAAAAAAATCTATGATTGCAAAACAAGAAAAAAAAAAAATTCTTAATTGGATTGAATTTTAAATTTATATTGAACAAAATAATATGAGATTATATATTTAATAGAGAGTATATGTATTGAGGGGTGTTTACATAAAATTTATTTTGAGAAATTCATTTTTTTTTTTGCTTGCATAAATTTAAATTTTTTTTTCTCTAATTTTATATTATTTATACATACATACATACATATATGTATAGTATCTTAATATCCTTTTATATTCACAACAAATTGAATTATGATTTTTTAACAAATCTTTTAATTTTTATAAAATATTTTTTATATTTATTAGTTGATTTCACGAAATTATTAATTTAAGTGTATATAGGCAATAGATTACATTAAGTACATTTCAAGTATGCCATAAATACATTAGAAGTCAAGTAGTTTCATATTGAAAATTTCTAAAAAAAAATTCAATAAGAAATTGGGATTCTTCGATTAAGAGCGACACGTTATTTTATTATTCTGTATTTTCTGTACATATTCTGCTTTTAACAGTAATCAATAATATACAGATTTCTGCCGAACACATTCTCTGATATTTCTAAATAATTCCAAATTAAATTCGCTTTTAATTTTAGAAACTCTTAAAATAATCTTTTAATTTAAATTAATAATTTAAAATCCTTGAAAAATAGCAAAATCCACGACTGTTCAAGAATAATATCTTGAAATTGAGTTAAAATTGAGTATTTAAATTTGAGCAATGATAGATCTTGGAGATTTTTTCTCTTATTTGTTATAATATTTCCAAATATCATCTATTATATTAAATTGATAAATATCTGTTCTCTCTTATTCTCTTTGTTTCAAATAAGTTGAATATTGAATATAATTAATGCTTGAACTGAAAATGAGAACAATTAATTAAAATAAGAGTAATAGAGTTTTCACTCAGAAAACATGTCAATTGTATTATATTTGTAATAATGTAGTTTTAATTTATAGTAATATTAAGTAAAAAGAATTAAAATTTAATTTTAGTTAGTGTGAAATAC